CACACACACACACACACACATATATAAATAGTTGGTAGTTGAGATTCCTGATCAGATGATTTAAATGTCACATCTTTTAGTGTCTAAAATTAAATTTTAAGCCACTTTTGTCTACTTTTATATTTTAATTCTTTTTCATTAAAGTCATATTAAAGTAAGTCCTTATTTTCTTTTTAGACATCCCAGAATAAGATTCTATTTTTTTAGTTCTTAGTGTAGTGAAGGTTTTACAAACAGCTCCTCCCTCAGTCCCTCCCTAAGCCCCTCCCCCTTACCCAGGTGTAGTATATAAGGCCTCCAAATGGCTCAGTTCTCTCTCTGACTGCTCCCTGGTGAGGTTCTCTGTGCTGGTTCTTCTCTTCTGGTTTTCTTGTTTGTTAGATTTGTCCTCTTCCCTCTATTTTCTGTCTGTTTGGACCAACTTCTTCTTTTGTTTGGCCTGTTTAGCTTCTTTGGTTAGGGTTAAGCTAATGCTAACCCTGTTCTCATTCTTTTCTTTGAGTTTGTATGTTGATTTTGTGGTGTGGTGTGTTGTTGGTTTTGTTAATTTTGTGTTTTTTTTTGTAATTTTTTTGTTTGTTTTAATTTGTTTTTATTGTGGCCTTGGTGTTATGAGGTGGCAGGCTTGTGGTTGGGACCACACTCCTGTTAGGTCCACCTACAGGCCTTAGCTGAAGCCTCTTAGCTGTTAGCTTCTTTGGTTTTGGTCAAATGAAATGCTTTCATCTAATGAAGTAGGCCACTCTGCGCCTCATGTTGAAGAGGTGGTTAAATGTAAACTGTGTGGATTAGTGTTTTTATATGGCTTGTCATTATTAAAAAAAAAACAACTTTTTATTTAATATTAGAGTGGATATTATTTTGGTTTAGTTTGTGCTTCTTAGTGTTTGCTGTGATCTTCATTTACTTTTTTGTATAACAAATGAGAGTGACTGATTTTTGGTTTGTTTTTTTCGTTGGAAAAAATCCTGGGTATTTGATCTTTGCATTTCAATTTATTTGCTGTGGGTTTTTATAATGAAACACTTGTGCCTTTTTTAACATTCTTTTGGTTATTTTAATGGTGACTTCCATAAAAGAGTGGGTTTTTGATTTTTATTTTTTATTGTTACTACTTTGTTTTACATCATAATATTGGTTGTTGTTTTTCATGTTTGTTCATTTTTGCGGTTCATTTGTTTGTGTGGGGCTTTACAGAATCTTGAGAAATTGTTTAGGTTCTTTGTGGGTTTTTTTTTTCTTCCCCTTGTCAGGTAAGGGGTAATTTTTGTAATCTATATGCAATCATTGTTTATGCATATTTTTGTGGTTATTTATTTATTTTCTTTTTTTTAAGGGAAAATGTAGTGCCATGATTTTGTCTTCTTGGTGGTTAAGTAAAAAATGAAGGTATTGTCTTGTCTGGTTCTTATGAGTTATTTCTTCTTCTTTTTCTTTCGGCTTTGTCCCTTTTTCAGGGGTTGCCACAGCAAATCATTGATTTCCATCTCTCCCTGTTCTCTGTATCTTCTACTCTGACTCCAACTACCTGCATGTCCTCCCTCACTGCATCCATATATCTCCTCTTTGGCCTTCCTCTCTTTCTCCTACCTGGTAGCTCCATCTCTAACATTCTTCTACCAATGTATCCACTGTCCCTCCTCTGCACATGTCCAAACCATCTCAATCTGGCTTCTCTAGCTTTTTCTCCAAACCTTCCTGTCTGTGTTGTCCCTCTAATGACCTCATTCCTGACCCTGTCCATTCTTGTCACTCCTAAAGAGAATCTTAGCATCTTTAACTCTGTCACCTCCAGCTCCGCCTCCTGTCTTCTGCCTATTGCTACTGTCTCTAAACCATACATCATGGCTGGTCTCACCACTGTCCTGTAAACCTTTCCCTTCACCTTAGCTGACACTCTTCTGTCACAGATCACTCCTGACACTTTTCTCCAGCTGTTCCATCCTGCCTGTACTCTATTCTTCACCTCTCTTCCACAGTCTCCGCTGCTCTGAACAGTTGATCCTAAGTACCTAAACTCCTGCACCTTCACCACCTCTGCTCCTTGTAGCCTCACTATTTCACTGTTCTGCCTTTCGTTTACACACATGTACTCTGTCTTGCTGCGGCTGACCTTCATTCCTCTTCTTTCTAGTGCAAACCTCCACCTCTCTAGGTTCTCTTCTAGTTGCTGCCTACTCTCACTACAGATCACAATGTCATCTGCAACCTTCATAGTCCATGGGGACTCCTGTCTGACCTCATCTGTCAATCTGTCCATCACCACAGCAAACAAGAAGGGGCTCAGGGCCGATCCTTGATGTAGTCCCACCTCCACCTCACTACTGTTGTACTATTCTCATACATGTCCTGCACCAAACTAACATACTTCTCTGCCACTCCTGACTTCCTCATACAAAACCACAATTCCTCCCTTGGCACTTTGTCATCTGCCTTTTCTACTATCTACAAATACACAATGTAGCTCCTTCTGACCTTCTCTGTACTTCTCCGTCAGCATCCTCAAGGCAAATATTGCAGAAATGTGCTATTTATACAGTAGTATAAAATCCACCTGTTATATATCTATACACACACACACATATATATTGACTGTCACAAATGACTGTCACCTGACGAGTCTGTGTCTCTTGTTTTTGTTTGTGTTTCTCAGAGGCAGCAGGCCTCACTGAGGGAGGAGTTGACCCACCACTGCCCCCTGCAGGAGAAGAGCAAGTCGTTTCTGAAGGAGAGCCCTCTGTCCCAGGGATTGCTGATCTCTGACGGAGCAGTGACCCTCATGTTGGATTCCATCCAGAGACAGTTCAAACCGAGACGAACTGTTTTCTCAATGGTATTTTATTTTATTCCATCTTTTTCTTAATTCATCGTTACTGTTACTGTGAAAGACGCTGGTGTGTTTGGCGCCATCTGATGATCATGTTTAAAAACTGTATGAGTGACAGCATATCTCTCTCTCTCTTTGCGTTGTACTTCGTTAAAAACCCACAACAGAGTAACGTGAAGTGTGCAGTGACAGATTGTGAAAACAAATAAGATGTTTCTTAAATGAAATTGGTTTTAGTAAAAAGACAACACTGTCTGTGAACCAAAAACTCTAATGAGAAAAAGGACCCTTGCCGTCCCCCCCTTGTCCCACCCCGACTCCCCGACCCTCAGCTTCGTTCCTTTACTCCGTGACCTCTTGGTTTGGTCGGTGATGATCAGACACTTCACTTCAGTTCAGTTCAGGTTTGGTTGAAGTCAGTTCTGACTGTTGGCAGTGAAAGAGTGAAAGGGTCTCAGAGTTTCTCCCGCTCCTGCCTCCACCCCTCCCCTCCTCACCCGCCCTCACCCCCCCTCTCGCTCCCCCACCACCCTTTTTCATTAACTTGTCTCTACATGTTTACCTTCAAACGGGGACAAATGGTTTTTCTGCTGCTAATTGTAGCCGTGTGTGTTTCTTCTGCCGCCTGGTTTTGTGTTTCTCCAATCAGAGCTACCAGATCCTTCATGGACCAGTTTGTTTTCTCAAGCACAGGGCCGTCATTTATAACCCGTGTGTGTGTGTGTGTGTGTGTGTCCGTGTACTACAGCGGAAACCGAAATCTTTAAACATGGGCTCTTTTTTTGCCCCTGTGATTTGGATTCAGGAACATTCCTGATCTGGAACGTTCCCGTATGTTCTGACCATCGTTTGAAAACGTATCAACTTGTAGCAATTTTTTCTGAGACAAATATTTAAGACTAATTTGGACTTGACTTTGAAGAGTGACTTTTCTCCTGAAGTTTTTTTTAACTTCAGTTTTGTTCACTCTCTGCCCTCTGAATGACCTCACAGGTAGAAAGAGGTTTCTTTAGAATCTAAAACACCAGTAAATGTGACCTACAGCACAGGTCAAAGGTGAAGAGACTCAGTGTTAGATTGTGTGTCTCTCTGTGTGTGTGTGTGTGTGGTTTATGGAAAGGTGAGATGTCTTTTTAATAGGGAGTGATTCGTCTTGTTGACCACAGATGATCTTTGTCCAGATGCTGACGTACGTGAGGCCCAGTTTGAAACCTGCCTTTTATTGATTCAGTTTCTATTTATTTATTTTTTGTCTTTAAAAAAACAGGAGTCGGAGCCTGAGGAGCACGGAGGCCA